GGTCCTTGGACTTCCCAAAGGGCAGGGAACCCTGATTGCTCTTTGGGCTGACGAGGGAGGGGGACTTGATTGGGGGAGGGGGAGGGAAAGGGGAGGCGGTGGTGGGGAAGAGACAGAAATCTTTAATAAATAAATAAATAAATAGAGTAAAAACTGAGCCTGTTGTTTCCTTAAAAGAATAAAAACTTCATTAGTCACAAACATCCTGAGGACGACTTCCTCTTCTCTTCCTTTGGTGTGTGCTGCCCTCTAGAGACAGACAAACAAACTAGCATCTATGTGTAAAGTCCATCGTTGTTTAGGGCTGGATCACAGGCTACAGAGCCAACCTTTTACTAACTTAGGACTCTGTAGAACATTTCCCACATATCAACCCCAGATTCCCAAACCGGTTCTGCCCCCTCAACTTCATGGACAGAGCTAAAATGAGCTCGGCCCACTGGGTTCCCGGGTAATCACCATTTTCTTACCAAATTATTCATAACCTGAGAAGTTCCTCTTTTTTTTTCTTTTATGTGGCCATAAAAACCATCTTGTTGAGGTCAACAAGAGCTGATAGCTGGATCAAAAGAGCTTTGCCTCCACCGTTCTTCCTCACTTAAGATCCAAGCCACCAATGAGCCCCGCTCTCCAGTTTCCACTCCCACCAGCTTTTGTCTCTCCGGTGCTGGGTTTAAAGGCAAGGCCAGCACATCACACCTGGCCTTGTGTTGCTTCCATCGGCGTATCTTACTATAGCAACAGAGATGGAACCAGAGCACTAGGTAAAATAATACCCCTCTCCCCAGTTTGGAGGTACAGATAAAGCCAGTCACCAGTAGCTTGCCTAAAGCAGAAGATTCCAGAGCCAATAGCTGTAGGAGCAATTCAACCATAATTTTGACAAATTGATTGATCCTCAGTATGAACTAGTTGGAAAATAAAAACTCCTAGACAATCCCTCTTAGAGAAGTATAGAAGAGGGGCATACTAACACAGAATCTCTCTCCTCTTCTCTCTCTCTCTCTCTCTCTCTCTCTCTCTCTCTCTCTCTCTTTCTCTCCCCCTTCACTTATAAAGAAAGGGAGGTATTAAAAGTACACTTTAATTGATTTTACCTCAAAACCAAAATAGGTTTTTTTCATTGAAGATAAGAAGAAATGAAAGAAATCTATTCACAGTTCTTGGCAAGGTGAGACAAAACTAGCAACTGTGAAGTATTGCCCGAATGATGGTCCTCTATAGCGAAAGGTTGGCCATGTCATCTGATCTGGAGCAACTGGCCAGCTCCCGCAGCTGTTTTCTATCAAAACCTGAGGTACTGGGAAGGCTTGCACCTTGGAACTTACTACTCAAAAACACAGAGGGGCTTCCCTGTACAGATGCCCACATCCATGACAAAAGCGCAGGCAACTCAGGAGCAATAATTCTGTTATGAAGAAATACAGTTGTTAATCAAGAAAATGCTATAATAAAATGGCAGCATATAAAACCCCCAAATCCCATTTCTATAGAAAAGCAGTGCAAGATGGGTAAATCTGTCAGAAACAGGTTTATTGGAGTTGCAGAAACTAATCAGACTTTATGCCGACCAGAAAAGTCAAGAGAGAATGAAGAGCTGAACTTTAGTAAAAGAACTTGGTAACCTTAAAGAAACCTGTCCATATTCCCCGACAGTGTTCCCAGTCCTAAAAATAGCAAAACAGACTATGTTATTGAGAATCTATGACTATTGATTTCTCCTGTTCCGGTGACTCTGAAGAATCAGCTCGAAGGGCTTTTCTTTCATTCAGAACACTTTCAAGGATGAAATGTCTACTTTAGGGACATTCATTGAAAATGTGTAAAGGCAAATATTTTTATTCACTAATACCTGGGACGTGGAACATCAATTAAGATTTAAAAAAAATAGACTGCATCAGTTCAGTGGAAATCCTGAGAAAAAAGATGTTCTGAGGAAGAAGAGGCTCGTAAAACTCCAGCCAGTTTCTGAAATCCATAATGCACGCACAGATCTAGGGACATTATTGAGCATGGTGGCAGAAATGTTTAGAACCATCCCTCCAAGCAGAAGCTGGTGGAACTCCGCGAGTTTGAAGCCAGCCTTCTCTACATAGGAAGTTCCTGATCAGCCAGGGATACCTAGTAAGACCCCAAATAGAATAAAAATATAAATAAAAAGACCAAGATGAGCCTAATCTCTCACTTCTGACTGACCCTTAGGTGCAGAATGGGAAATATGCAGAAGTAAAATCCAAGAAAAGTTTCTAAATTATGCAAATGAGTCTTTTAGGTGTGCCCACAACACACATGTCCATATGAAAACAATAGCATATTTTGTTTATTTGACTGGATTTGGTTGCAAGTGTTGAAGGAAGTCTCTATTGACTCATTAGCTGAATATTAAACTAATGGAACATGCATTAAAGCGGCTGCAAACAAAAAAAGAATATAGTTTTTTCAGACCACTTTAGTAAAATGAGCAAGCAACAAAAAGCCACCATACTTCATAGCAAAATAGAGCCCGGTGAAAGAAGCAGAGTCCCATTTCCAGTTGCGAAAATAAATCACAATGTGTGTTTGGGGCTTTGTTTTTGTTTTTAAGAAAAAATACATTGAAAGACATGAAAACACGAGACAATCTGGCCAACACACAGGAAAACAATAAACTAACACAAGCATTCCAAAGGAAGCCTGCCATTGAACTTGTTAAATAAAGACTGCAAAACCACGAAAAAGGAAACTAATGTTGCTTTCTCAGTAAACCCAGAAATAAATTCTAAGAGATAGAAACTAAAAAAGGAGGAAGAGAAGGGGCAGGAGAGTGACAGGAAATGGGGGAGGAGAAGGGAAGGGAGGGGAAAGGAACTCTGAAATCAAACTTTTCAATAATGACAATAAAAATCACTAGAGTGATAACAATGCATCTGCTTAGGTTTTAAAAAAAGATTTGGTGAACATAAGGATGGGAAAATTGAAATTATGAACTCTAAGTAACAGAAAGCAAAGAGAAGAAAGGAACCTGAACACAGCCTAAGCAACCCAAGGACCACCATCAAACAGACAAACACATGCATATGGG